TGATATGGTATGTAAATAATAATTTTATAATAATCTGCTACGGAGTCTGTTATAATGTTAGAACGGTTAGTTTGGCGTGATACGAGTCTTGGTTTAGTCACAGGTATATTGTACTTYTTACAAATATCTTCTACAGTCACAAAAATTTTGTTGAAGTTTTCTGTAGAATATTGTCTTCTTTCTTCAAGTTCGTGTTTTGCTGCATCTGCTAACTTAACAGCCTCARCCAAATCTTGATTTTCTGTTTGTAAAACTCTACTCAATGATAAAGCCAATGCATGTACTGAATGCAAAACGTGAATTGATACTTGAAACTCTAAGGTTTTTATTGCTGAAARGAGTTGAAAAGATCCGGATGTTGTTTTTGAATCTGTCCAAGTACTTGAAATGTTTTCTAAGGCGTCAATAACAGCTGGTTGTAAATCTATATAGGTTCCAATTGATTCATGCTGCTGTACCCACCTTGTTGCGCAGTATTTTTTAAGTTTTTTTTTCTTTTCTTGTAACAAAAATTCATTATTTTGTATTGCATCATGAAGTGCAATTTGTCGTTTTGGTGTATTAAAGAAGTTGTAAATAGATTGGACTGTACCAAGACAGTTTCTAATTTGGGGGATACTACATGCGGCACTAACTGCCAAATTGAAACTATGGGCAGCACAGTGTGAGTAGAGAGCTAAATGATACTTTTCTCTGATATACGCTTGAACTCCGTGAAATTCACCACTCATAGTACTAGCCCCGTCATACCCTTGTCCAAATAAATACGCACAGTCAATTCCAGAATATTYAAGGAAATCCAAAATAACATTTGATAAACCTTTCCCAGTTACATCTGCTACAGGTACAAAGCTTAAAAAATCTTCACGTATTTTTAATTTAGCGTCATCATTATTTAAATACCTTACACATATTGAGACTTGTTCTATGCCAGCAATATCGGCAGTTTCATCTGCTGTTACTGAAAAAGCTTGAGATTTATTGACTCGTTCAATAATCTGTTTTTGAATTAAATTATGAAATATGACAATAAATTCGTTTTGTATACGGTTACTGATATACATGGCATTTTTTGAGGAATTTTGCAAAAAAGTATTAAGCTGATCGTCAGTTTTTGCTCGATATCTTAAAAGAGCCCGAAAATTACCATCGTTAGTTAAAGGTTCTTCGGAGGTTATTCTCCCTGAATCATTTGAACCACGAAGGGCCAAACCCTGCCGGCCACATAATATTAAAGTTTCGATTATAGGTATCAAACATTTTTTACTTTCATTAATGAAATTTAATTGTTGTTCCGAAATTTGTAAATCAACTGGTAAAATGTTTTGGTTATCAATTTCTGCTCTCATATTTGATTTTAATAATGAAGTTTTATGATACTCTAGTGAGTTATGGTAACTAAATGATTCTAAAGCTTTTTYCCAGTTTGTAAACGGTTTTTTAACTAACAGTCCCAACTTTTGATGTCCAATTCCTCCACCTCCGACAGAAAACAACACACAATACTTACAAAATACGCCATTCATAATTGCTGAATAAGCCAACCATTTATATTTAAGCAACCAACTTCTTTGAAATTTGAAATTTCTTTTTTCGGAAACAGGAAATTTATAGTCTTCTGGAGGAGTCCAAATCAAATTTTGAAGTCCCGGAAACAAGTCAATAGTTTCAGTTGCAGGTTTATTCACATATAATCCTATGTCATGTTGGTGCACAATCTCTGGAAGTGACACTGATACATTTGTTTCTGGAGATGCATTTCTCGCTGRTTCAATTGGTTGTGACTGGTTATTAAAACTATTTTCCTGTAAATAAAATGTAAAAATTAATCAGATTAATTGAATAATTGTGTTTATAGATTTAAATATTGCATTTAATAAAATGTATTATATAAAATATTTCGACAACAATTAACAATAGATTTCAAATCACGAACGGGATGACTATATTATGTTCTATAGCACACGCGAAAAATAAACATACCTCTATACTATAATAGTAGTCCAATTTAATTTTTAAAAATKATTTGAATTATTAGTAATTATAATTAATTTTAATGTACTTACTATCTCATCATTTTCTAGCCGTGGTTTTTTGAAAAACGTTCGAATGTCCATTTTGATGTTATTTCTAACGGCGTGTTTACTATAACTAACGTCTCACTGTGAGCTTACAATCGTTGTGTATGAACTATGATTATAAACAACTTTTAAAATACCCGAAATCCGTTATCGTGTAATCTCGTGTTCTACTAATTGCGGTCGAATAAAATATTGTTGTGTGGCATGTATGCTCTATACTTATATTCATACATTTATTGTCATTATATTTTATCGATAACGGCAACGATTACGAA